CANCATGTTCTGCTCTTACAGCAATGTTTCTCCCTCTCTCCTTCTCCCTTCCTCTCTCTCTAAAAATCAATAAAAGAATTGTAAAAAGAAATAAATTAAGTCAATAATGATAAATAGTATTTTAGTTGGATCTTTAATGTTCTCCATCTTCTTTGAGCAAATTTAAGACTATCTTCGTGCTATTAAAAGAAATTCAAAATTTTGGATCACAGATTTAATCTTATTTCTTTTTCTGTCAATGCAAAACATAATTAACATGTGTGATCTCCTTCAGGACAGGGAGGAACCTTTGCAGGCATTTACTTACCTTTTCCACTCAAGCCTTACCACTTCCGATGTTGAAATCATCTGGAATTCTGGTTGCATGTTGTTAATGTTTGACATCATTCCTCAATAGTTTTTTTTATTGGTTTTTATAATGCTTTTGCATTTGCATTTTCCTCATTTAGTACATTTCTAGTTAACTCTTATAAAGAAGGCGTGCAGGTCATCAAATTTCTGCGTCCTTTCGTGTCCAAAGGTGTCTGTTGGTTGACATTCATTTGATGCCGACTCTGCTGTGGGAATAGGATTCTGGAGGCAAAACCCCTCGTTCCTTTGGGTGTCCATGATATTCCTTGTCTGCCTTTCAGCATCCAGTGACACCTACGAAAAGGCTGCTGTCAAAAAGGACATTTTATCTATGAAAATACTATTTTAATCTCTTTCATTCTTTTGCAGATATTTTTTAACCCGGCTTTAAACTTTTTGCTTNGAAAATACTATTTTAATCTCTTTCATTCTTTTGCAGATATTTTTTAACCCAGCTTTAAACTTTTTGCTTTCTTTCTTAGAAGTTCTGACATTTAAACAGTTGGCATCTAGGTGTGGGTCTTATCTTCATTTATAATGTTTGATACACTATGATCCTTTCCAGTGTTCACAATTTAAGCCTTTCTTTAGCCTTGGGAGTTGTTGTTTTTTCTTATACCTTAACTATTTCTTCCTTTTAGTTTTTCATATGATCTGACAATAAAATGCCTTTTAGGGCATGTTCCGGATGTCTTTCATGCTTCTTACCACACATTCTTATCTTTATAAATATTTTTTATTCTAGGAATTCCTTAGTTTTTCTGGAGATGCTCATAGCATTCTTTTTTGCTCTCCACCCTGAATGTTATGATTTTAGTATATGTAATTTTCTGTAATTTCAAGGAATTTGCAGAAATAATAGAGGTAGATGAATGCATCAGTTATCTTTACAAAATTATCTTGATTTTTAATTATTTTTACATACTTACACATATTTTGTACATGATTTTGTGTTGCACACTACGTTTTCACTTGTTACCCATGTAGTTCCTGGATCATTAAATATTTTTCCAAAGTATATTTTAATGGCTTATACTANTATGCCTATATGTTAATTTATTTATTCATTTGAACTTATACTCCATACCAATCATTGTGTAATGAATTGTCAATCTACTGATGGGATTGTAATAGCTACAATATTTTTTAATTGTTGTTTTCTTTTTTTCACTATTGTAAGCAGTGCTATGATGAACAAACTTTATACGTACATTTTTGATGTATTATTTCTATGGGCTAGATAGATTCATTACTCTGAATCAAAAACCACTTACATTTTCAAGGCTAAATTTTTTAAATTTAGAAAAAAAGAAAACAACAATTAAAAAATATTGTAGCTATTACAATCCCATCAGTAGATTGACAATTCATTACACAATGATTGGTATGGAGTATAAGTTCAAATGAATAAATAAATTAACATATAGGCATATATATTTTTTCCTTTTAAATAGTTGCAGTCTTCTAATACTGCTTAGTTAAAATTGTTTTTATGAATGTATGGTCACATTTTCTCTTCTATGAAATGGTTTTCCCTTTGCTGGCTTTCTTTTAGACACTGAATGATTTTTAAATAATTTTTGCATTTGCATCTTTCTCAATCAGCATATTTATCAATTTATTGAAATTTTTTACATATAAGGGAAGTTTACTAACATTTTCTGTTGCTGCGAATGTTTCCCTAATTTGTTATATACTTTAAATTTTACTATACTTGAAAATTAAGTTTTATATTTATATTAAATAAAATGCATTAATCATTTTTTCTTTTTGATTTTTTTCTATTAGTTATGTTTAGACAAAACTTTCTCATCTAGAGGCCAAATAAATATTCACCTTTATTTTATTCTAGATTTCTTCTGCTTTCCATTTTTAAATTCAGATTTAAATTAATTTTCAGTTTATTTTGATGTACAGAAAATTTACTTTTCCCAAACAACCAATTTTCTCAGCTGAATTTAATGAACACTCCAGTCACTCCCTTTGATTTGCAATGACTTCTTTATTATATATTAATTTCACAGATAGATATGTACATATTGTAACATCTATTTCTAGGTTATCCATTTTTACTCATCTCTTTTTATACCAATTTAAATTATAATAGCCCTATAACTCAATCTAACATCTAATATCTTATAGGACAAGTCCATAAATATCTCATATTATAAGGAAAACAGGTTAAAAACATTCCTAAGTGGCATTTCTAGACCTCAGTGGTCTTAAGAGGAAATTTCTATCTCAACAACAGGCATTTGAAACCCAATTGGCTAAAATGTTTATTATTACAATAGTTCCAACAGTTAAACCACTTTTACAAAAGAATAAAGACCAGAGTAGCCTTTTCTTTTCAGGACACTTGATAGCATCCGGTGAGTGCCCTGTGCTTGGAAACGGCCAGTGCCCTTTCTCTTATACCCCTCACATTATTTTCTTTTACAATGAAAGTCTTCTTTCATGCTTTTACCCAGAAATATTGACCTTAGGCTCAGCTCTCACTTCTTCATGTGTTACCCACTTGGAATGAAGCTGTGATTTCCATTTAGAGGCCTAGGCCTGCGTAGAAACTGCTGGTAAATTATGGCCTCTGGCCTCTGGAGCCTGGCAAGGCCAGCAACTTGAGGCATTAAAGTTTACACTTGAAGGGCTCAGGGAAGGTTGCCACACACTTGCCATGTAACTGATTTTTTTGAAAGACAAAATGACTCTTGGATGAATGAACTATGCGACATGCTACAATAGGAATGAATCTCAAAATAATCAGCCTGAGTGAAAGAAGCAAGACCCCTCCAAAAAGTACATATTGTATGATTCTATTTACATAAAATTGTAGAAAATGCAAACTAATTTATAGTGGCAAAAAGCAGATTAATGGTTCCCTGGTGGTAATGGGGGATCCAAAGGAGCACAGGAAATTTTGGTGTGAATATTTTTATTGTTTTTATTATGAAATTGTTCATTCTCACTGCCATACAGTTTNGGTGTGAATATTTTTATTGTTTTTATTATGAAATTGTTCATTCTCACTGCATACAGTTTACTGGGTGTGTATGTGTGTGTGTGGTGTGTGTGTGTGTGTGTGTGTATGCATGCGCACGCAGTATTCACAGTTTCATGAAACCAGGCAACTGGTGGGCAAGAGGTAGAGAAAAAGGAAGGTACAAGAAAGTCTTAGAGAGCAGCCAAGACCAAGGAATCTCTGAAGGATTCCATCAAAGCTACAGTACAACCCAGGACGGGGGTGGGAGCTGGTTGGGCTGAGCAATGCTTTGTAAACCTTAATTCGTACATAATTCCCCTGGGGCTCTTGTCCGAATGCAGCTTCTGATTTAGTAGGTTTGAGCTGGGGCCTAGGATTCTGCATTTCTCACAAGCTTCCAGGCGGCTCTGATCTTTCGGCCAGCCTTTGAGTAGCAAGGGCTAGAGCATTTGTTATCAACTTTGGTTCTATAGCAGAATCACCAGAGAGCTTAAAATAAATGAATAAGTAAATGAATAAATAAATAAATATTTTTTAAAGCCCTGATGCCTGGATCTCACCCTCAGCCCCAAAGATTGTGTTTTAATCGATCTTGAGTTCAGTCCAGGAGTCAGGAGTTTTTAAACCTACCCAGATGATTCTAATGTGCAGCCCAGGATGATGACTACTATTCAAGAGGGAGTGATAGAAGCCGTATCAGGGGGTGAGGAAGAAAGAGCCTCGAAAAGGCGAGAGCGGTGGCAGGTGTGACCTGGGCCGGAGAAATGCGATGAACCAAGCCCCCAGTCAGAACCCAAATCCACCCTTTCCAAGTATGCAGATTTACCTGAGTGTAACGCACACCTGTGTGGTTCTGCCCGCGTTAAAGATGCTTTGCTGCTTCCACACCTGCCCCGGGAATAAGTTCCAGGCTGATCACTAAGTGGGCAGATGGGCAGTGCGGCCTTCCTCAGGGTAGAGCCGCAGGGAAGGAGAGACACTGCAATGGAGGAAGCAGGGCAGGGAGGCTGGCTGGGCTTCCACTTCCCATCACATCCGCAATTGACAGCCCCCAGCCTCCCTCTTCCCGTCTTTGATGGGCCACAAAGAGGCATGACAGACCCTGCTGCCGTCTTCCAATATGCCCCAGACTTGTTCTAAAAATTCTTTTCAAATAGGTTGACAAACATTTTTTGCTCTGGTTACAGATTTGTATCTGCGCCATGGAATTCTGATTCTGAAACTACGGATGCACCAGAACCCTAACGTGTTTAATGAGAATGTCTATTTAATTGTGCTGCTTGGGACTTAAAGAGACAGAGTCTGTCTGCATTTTGTTGACAAACGTCATTTACAGACTGACCCTGGCTGCTAAGATTAGGTTCACCATTGCTAAAAGTGCATATTTGGAAATGAGTTATCTTAGCGNGTCTATTTAATTGTGCTGCTTGGGACTTAAAGAGACAGAGTCTGTCTGCACTTTGTTGACAAACGTCATTTACAGACTGACCCTGGCTGCTGACTAGGTTCACCATTGCTAAAAGTGCATATTTGGAAATGAGTTATCTTAGCAAAACAAAACACTTTTTTCCCCTTAAGTTGATTAAACTGCAGCCTAGGAGCAAAACAAGCTTCAGATACAGGCATGCAGCCCGGTTCGATAACTCCCTCTGTCTCATTTCTGATGCAGACGATGCTGTGTACCTAGAGGATGAAAGAGAAAGAGAGGAGTATGTCCTCAATGACATCGGCGTCATTTTTTACGGAGACCACAATAACATCAAGAGCAGGAGCTGGAGCTACGGTCAGGTGAGCCACTTAAAATCTGTCACTGTCGAGGGCATGTCGCTTAATACTTTGGTCACGTGTATCACTGCGGTTGCCACATGTCAATATCAGACAAGCCTAATTTCCTGCTTTTCAGGATTTGAGGCTCCAAGACAGAGAGGCCAGGAGCAGAGACTCAGAAAGGCGGCCGCATAACTGATCAGCGGAAATCACGCCTCTTAGGTTGTTACAGGGCTGCAGGGATCGGGGCCTGGGAAACGCGGCGTCCCAGCGCCCAGTGCCCAGCGCCCAGCGCCCAGCGCCCAGCGCGGGGCCGTCTCGGCGGGGTGCAGTCCGTTAGCTCAGGCCTGGCTCGGCAGCCTGGAGGGGACTGAGCTTTGCTTTTCTTACAAGGAAAGGTGTTTTGACAATGACGCTGAGGATACTGCCATGTGTGTATTCAACTCAAAGAAATCACTGTTTTAAGTGGTAGTATAAGATATGACTGATTAAAAAAGAGTTACCATTTCTTCAAAGGAGGGCCCACTGGGCTCTTACCTCAGGACATTGAATCAGCTGCAACGTCAAGTTTCTGTCCGGATATGAAATCGCTTAATTGGGTTTCATTTATGATATTGAGTGATTTAAACTATCTCAGTTTGGTATCTTTAACAGTGGGGCAAATGGATGATATTTTTTCCATATTTCCATAAATGAATGCATGTCCTGGGATGCAGAGACAACTTTTCATTAGCAGCCTGGGAGGGGATGAGTGTCCTTTCTCAGAGTCCCGGCTGAGATGACCGGGCGTGTGCACCACACTGGGGACCGAGGCGGAGAGTTCACAGAGCCCTGCCTCCCCGGGTCACACTGCTTTCTTGGCTTCTTGATGCCTTGTTTTGACTTTCATAGGGCCTCTCCCTTCTTCCCTCACCTGTGCCCCAGCCTGACCAGCGGGACCCATGTCATCACTAGCTCTCGCCCCCTGGCTTTGTGCGCTCCTCCTGCCCCCTCGCTCCCGGGAATCACGCGCCCAGGCCTCGGGCTTGCCCACCTGCATTTCTGACGTTCTGCCAAGCGAATGACCTGTGTTCCTCTCCCCCTGTTTTGGACACCTGCCTGGCTCCCTGGTTATAAGTCCCCCCCTTCCCAAGTGACATGCAACTCTTTACTATTGCCCATTGTCTGGTGGCCTTGCTCTGGGCCCCTGATTCCTAACCTCTAGGTGTGATTCTCTCCATGTTACCAATGTGACAATAGATAGTTAATAAGGGGAAAGCCACCAAGGTGGGTCTCAAAGAGGACTGGAAAAGGGTCCCCCTCAACCAGAATGCCTTTGGTCACCCTTAAACACGGCCATGTCTGCTCATTCGGAGTCCATTAATTTAGGTCCCTCTGCACAAAGAACCAGCTAACCCAGTAGTTTGCAGTGATGCAGAGAAGCCCCTAGTTCTGTGACTATCCTTTTACCCCTCCGGTTCGCTGACAGCATGTCCCACAGACACAGCTGAGAGATGCTGCTTAAGAAGAACCAGAACACTGAGTTCTTTACGTGACTGAAAACAAGTGCGGTTGCCCATTCCTGCAGCCATGTGTCTGTTCAGGGCACATGCAGAGTTGATATTCTCCCTGGACTTAATAAAGAGTTACATGGTAATTGGCCATTAAGATTGTGATTTCTGTCACAAGTCCTTGTGTGGATGATTGCAAGATTTCTGCGTCCAGGAAATCTCCTGTACCGCGAGGCACAGTAGAGGTGAAACCTTCCATTTTGTCATTTTATTACTACTTTACCTTTATTCCTGTTTTAGAAATTGCTAGTGTTGCAAACGGCTAGCTGTTCCCTCTAAGGAAATTGAACTGCCTACCATGTTGTTCCCTTGATAATAGAACTGACTTTGTCCTGCCCTCTCCTTGAGTCCACCTTGTCTCCAGAGAGGGAAAACCTTGGACAGACATTCAGTGCACGGGGCCTCCTACTATTTCCCCTGCGAGGTATACGGACCCTGTGCCTTCTTGTGCTTTACCTGAGAGCCATTTATTTTCTAGACACACAAGGACTCGTGTTACTTTTGAGGTGTTGAGACCTTGGCCTGACTTCGGCAAATCGTTTATTCCTCTGCCTTGGGCACTGGAGCCAATATGTTGGAGAGATCCTCCAAATTACCTCGTACGATTTTCCAAAGAACTTCAAGTCAGTTCATGATCCTTAAGTATGTCGGTTCTCCAGTAGTTCTGTTTCTATTTCTAGCTTGCTTTTAAGTTCTTACTTATTTTACTGAGAAATAAAAAAGGATGTCTCCTTCATTTCACTTTAGTGAGAAATATTAAGTATAAAAGATTATGAGCAATTACTGTATAGGAATACACATTTCTGAACATTAGGTTGTGGCTTTATTTTATTTTTGGCCAGAGAGTATTTTTGCTTGCCCAGTGGACATTAAGTAGTTTCTCTGCTCTTTTTTCCAAACAGTTTGAGGACGGCATCCTGGACGCTTGCCTGCACATGATGGACAAAGCACAGATGGACCTTTCAGGCAGGGGGAACCCCATCAAAGTCAGCCGCGTTGGGTCTGCAATGGTGAGCGACCACACTGGCTACTGAACAAAGTGCACATATGTCCTCAGTTTAGATGCCAGTTTATTGGGAGCTATTGAAATGGTGACTTAAACTTAGCAAACTTTGATTTGTACTAGCCTGGAATTCCCTAAAGTTGTCCTGTGCTGCAGAACAAAATTCTCATCTTGGTATTGTATGTTTCTTTGGCTTCAGACAAGTGGTGATAGATGACATGACACCATAGACCACTTATTGTTAAGAATCTCTTGCTTAGGGACTAAGGAGTGACCATGACAAAAGGTGAGTGACTATAATCAAACAATCAAACAAACAAACAAACAAACATCAAGGAGCACCAAAGAATGTACGAGACACAGCTTTTCTCCATTTTCCCACCCACAGTAAGAGTAAAAACATAAGTGACCCCATGCAATCCTAGCTTCTATTGCAATAATACCTCTCCATGGGGCTTTATGATTTATAAAGATGGGCTTTGATCTTTCATGGGAGTCACAGGAGATAAGTAGGGTGGATATTACAAGTTTGGAAACAGTGTGATGACAGGTTGTCGGTGACAAAGCTTCCCCTAGAATCCAGGTGTGCTGACCCCGACTCTGGGCATTCTCTGTCTCTCATGCTGCTCCCTGTAGGAGATCAGGAGCATCTGTGAGGGTGCAGAGATCCTGCAGTGGAACAGCTTCCTGGGAAAGGAAACGTTTCCCATGAGTGGGGAGGCTGGGGGTCAAGTGTGGGAGGTGAGTTAAGGAGATGCTCGTGTCTTGTGCAATCCTGAGCTGGACTGACATACACAGGACACAGACCCTGCCTTTGGTTCATAACAGGGTATTAAAGCTGATTCATGAGCAGAATGTTCCAGAAGATACATTTTATTAAANCATAACAGGGTATTAAAGCTGATTCATGAGCAGAATGTTCCAGAAGATACATTAAGCCAAGTGCTATTTTATTCCATCAAAGACTGAGCAAAAAGAAAATCCTTGTATCACCAATTTTCTTAAGTTTTCTAAAAAAAAAAAAAAATTATCTCTTTCGAAGAATTTTGTGTTTGGTTCAAGCTCAATAAAATCAATTATTATCCAATCAGTCAATATTAGACTGAGAATTATATGAAATGCAATTTCTGGTTAGCTCATCCGAAGAGTTGCTTGTATTTTATTGAAAACTAAGCTGCATGTGAATTTAGGAAACAGTGGAGCTTGAAAAGCAGAGGTAAGAACAACCTCTAAAGGCAGTTTTGTTTTCTCCTGTTAGTTTACACTGCGTAATGAAAAGAGAATGAATTCTAAAGAATTTAGGAATTTGTTTGCAAGAACTGTTTAAAAGCACATGCATTAGACCTGCAGCCAGTCCCCGTTTTTCCTGTTTCGCAGACCAGGTTTCCCTTTCCTCCTCCCTTGAAGCCATGTGGCAGGCTTACAGTGAGAAGGGGGGCCCCAGCAGCGGGGACATGTAAGTTAGTCCCTTGTGACGCGTTCTGCAACAGCATGCTCATCAGCCTCGGCTCACTCACACTTTGGGTGTATTTTTACTAATCCAGACATCACTGCCTACCACAGAGAATGCGAGAAGGAAGCTACCATGCAGCAGCTAGCCCAACGCTTTCTACAGTGGCAACTGGCCAAGTGAAAGCTGTTAAATTTTGAATTAAGCACATAATCTTAATACAAATTGCCTTGGAATTTTATTAATCATAAAAGGCCTATGAAGTTCTCATTTTAGAAATCTGTAACCTAATTACAAGCTTTAGAACAAGTCGGAATCTATTGGGGGGATGGCCTGGCTTTGCGTTGCTGTGTGTTTCGGAAGGGGAGTCCTTGCGTGTTAGGGGCAATATCTCTGTTTCCACCACCATCAGTGTTTACGTACACAAAATACATGTGTGATAGTTTTAAAAATCTTTTCACAACTATTACCTTCTTTCATCCTTCAAAGAGCTCTGTGGATGTTTCTAAAAATCTATTCAGTTATAAAGATTTTAGAAAATAAATACTAAGCCTCCAAAAATCAATGAAAAAGGTGACACTTTAAAAAAGTCAACTGTTGCCCTGGCCGGTGTGGTTCAGTTGGTTGAGTGTCTGCCCTTGCCCCGAAAGGTCGCCTGTTCGATTCCCCATCGGGGCCCAGGCCCAGGTCGTGGGTTTGATCCCCAGTCGGGGTGAACGCGGGAGGCAGCCGAGCGATGTTTCTCTCTCCCATCTATGATGATTCTCTTTCTTTCTCTCTCTCTCCATCTCCCTTCCTCTCTCTCTCAAATCAATAAAAACATATTTTTAAAAATAAAATTTAAATTTAAAAATCAACTGTTGAAGTGAGGACAAAGGTAGGAGCAGAAGCCCGGGGCCCCAAAGACGAGTCNCTCTCTCCATCTCCCTTCCTCTCTCTCTCAAATCAATAAAAACATATTTTAAAAAATAAAATTTAAATTTAAAAATCAGCTGTTCAAGTGAGGACAAAGGTAGGAGCAGAAGCCCGGGGCCCCAAAGACGAGTTGGCTTACGATGGTCACGGGAGAGTCTAGCAGCGAACACGGCAGGAATTTGCAGGGAACAGGTGGGCGCGATGCTCCGGGAGCCCTGATAGCAACTCAGGTTGTGAAAACTTCCTAAGGGTAATAATAATAATAATAAAAATCTGGAGTTTAAGTGCACAGCCCCCAGATAAAAATCGTTATTGCCCGGTGTCTATGACCTTAGATAGCTCTTTGCTGTGGGAACCATCTTGTGTATTAGAGGCTGTTCAGCAGCATCCCTGGTTTCTGTTAAAGAAATGTCAGTAGCAGTTCCCCACCTCCTGTGTAACAATCAAAAACGTCTTCAGGTATTGCTCAATGTCCCCTCGGGATCCAAATCACCCCCAGTGAGGGCCACAGCAGTAAGCCCCTTTGTGGCTCAGTTTCCCAGCCTGTGCAATGGACATAACGCTCTCTTCTTGCCTGCAAAGGGGATCTGTCTTTCTGCCCCATTCAAAACCTGTTGCGCCCGGCCGGGCGTGGCTCAGCGGCTGAGCGTCGACCTAGGATCCAGGAGATCGGGGTTCAACTCCCGGTCAGGGCACATGCCCGGGTTGTGGGCTGCAGCCCATCAATGACTCTCTCATCATTGATGTTTCTCTCTCTCTCTCTCTCTCTCTCCCTCTCCTTTCCTCTCTCTGAAATCAATAAAGATATATTTTTTTAAAAAAAAACAACAAAAAAAAACCTGTTGGTTTTCATTCCACCACAGAAGAGAAAGTGGGAGCAGCATCCACCGGGCCCCGGTCGGTTCAGACCTCTCGGCTCAGACTGGGCCGCTCTCTGTGTGACCGGGCAAGTCCCTCAGCCTCCCCAGGCCTCTCTTCAGCTTTAAAGGGAAATATTGTCCCAAGACTCAAACGGCATTTGTTATTCCCAGTGGCAGCAAAGATATCCTTTTACTCTTCAAAATGAAGCTCTTCTTTCTTCTAATTTCCCCTTTATAAATTCAGTATCTTACTTGGTTCTTATTTTAAGTTGTGTTACCTCACTTTGATGGGAAAATAGGAACTACTTATGACAATTTGGACAGCCTTGGGCTATTGGATTCTCCCAGGAGAAAGTCTGTAAATTTTGTAATTTCATTGTCTGGGGATTGGGCCTGAGATGTTATAACCTTATATAAGCTACCTTTTATTTAGGTTTCTCTACGTACTGAGTGGTACCTTTTACCACAGCTTCACTGCAGATTGATGTAAGGGAGAAAATTTTTAAAAGGAGAAAACTATAACTTTGATTTGCCCAAAGTTATACTTTCTCCTTTAAATTACATTGCTTGGTTGCTGTTTTCTTTGAACTTCATACCTGATTTGACAGTACCCACCAGAACAATTGCCAGGAAATGTGCTAGGGAATTTCTAGAAAGATGCTTTGTGCCATAAGAAAAGTTATGTTGCTCACAGAGCATTAAGAACGCATTGCATCTTTGGCCCGGGATTACTATGAAGAAGCCACACATGGACTCTGGGCCACGATCAGAGCATCAAAACAGTTGGGTTATGCCATGTTGTGACAAGGACAGCATGGTCCTGGGGAAAGGGAAGACAGTGACAATAGCCTGGCATTCCTGCCGCGTGGTTACCTGTCGGTGCCTGTTTCTGCCCGCTGACTGATTGGATCTGGCAGCAGCTGTGAGCAGAAAAGTTTGCAGGGAGGCGCGCTGTGGCTTATTATGTTGATCTGCTTGTTAAGCAGATACCGCTCCCTTATTCACTGTGAAACCCCTAACACCTCACCTCAGTGCAGATTCGCGCCTTTGAGTTGAGACTTATCAATAGAAGAGCTGGGTTGAAATGCAGAGAATGTGTACATGAGATCTGGAAGATGCTCCAGGTAAAGGACAGGGGACCCTGAAATGATGTCACTCAAGCGCACACAGCAAATAAGTGGCTGAGCTAAAACTAGATATTGTCCTCGCTCTTAGATCATGTTACCTCGGAGGGCCATTACCAACACATTAGTAGCAATAACACGATTATATCAAATTAAGTAGCTGTTTCCTAGAAAAAAAGGACCCAAGAGAATGGGGTCCAGAGGCAGATGAATTTTGAAATAAGGGAATAAGTGAAGAAAGATATAAATCAGAGAATTCTTAATAGCCAGAAACACTGAGCCCCTGGGGAAAAAGTTCCTAAAAAGAATTAGACACCAAATACGTCTTGATGGCAGTGGTGGTGCTGCTGGTGGTGCTGGTGGCAATTATGGTGGTGCTGCTGGTGGTGCTGGTGGCAATTATGGTGATGGTGTTGGTGATGGTGGTGGTGGTAGTGGTGGTGACAGTGATGGTGGTGATGGTGTTGGTGATGGTGGTGGTGGTAGTGNCAATTATGGTGGTGCTGCTGGTGGTGCTGGTGGCAATTATGGTGATGGTGATGGTGATGGTGGTGGTGGTAGTGGTGGTGACAGTGATGGTGGAGATGGTGTTGGTGATGGTGGTGGTGGTAGTGTGATTACTATAATGATGCTGATGGTAATAAAATGCTCAATATTA